GGGCCGCCGGCAGCCCCTCCCCAGGGGAATTAAATGCCCAAACCCCGGGTGTGGGGTGGGGGGGGGGGACGGCGGCTGCTTTAAATTAAATACACATTTGCAAAAAGAACTGTGTTGTAAGAGCTCGTTTCCCCCCGGGACCAACCTGCACCTTTTCTGGGCTGATGCTGACCGGCTCCGAGGGGGCTTCTGGTCCTGGGGGGCTGGGAAGAGCCCCATGGAATGGGCACGGCACGGAGTGAGGGGGACCCCAACACCCGTGGGGTGTCACCGGGGGGTCTGCCTCTGCCCCACAGCCGGGGGTCCTGGGGCCCATCCAGCTGCTCCCCCCAGGTACCCTTCAATGGGGTTATTTATTTTGGGGTGAGAGGAACCCAAAGCAGGTTTCTCAGCCCCCAGAGGCTTTACTCCCACCCCCATCACTTACTGCCCCTTAGACCCCCCGGGACAGAGCTCTGAGGGAACTGGGCTCAGATTTACTGAGCCAAACGGGGCAGAGATGTCATTCTCCTCACTGTAACTCCTAATGACAGTGATAATTAAACCCACGCAGACGGGAGCTGGGAAAGTGGCTGGTGAAGCCTCCAGCAAAGGGGTCCTCAAACCCCGTGGCTGAAAATCCCCCCGATTTGCCCAAAAGGGACACAGGGTGGATGTGAAGAAGGTTGTAAAGCGGAAAACAGGGTCAGGGCTGTGCTGAGGTGTTTGAGGGGGGGTTTGAGGGGAGCTCTTGGCCGTGTCCCCCCCCAGCAGCTACATCTACAGGGGCTTTAATTAACCCCCCCCAGGAGGGAGATGAACAGCTGTGCACTGCCTGGGGGGGGGGGCAGCTATAAAACACCAGCAAAACAAGGTTTTTTGGTCCTCCTGCAGCTGCTGAGCCACTCAAAGCTCGTTACTCATAATGCTTCGTTAGCAGGAGTGTCAGGGGCTGGAGGCAGGACCCTGAGCCCCAGCCCCAGGTGGTCCCTGGGGGACGGGCTGTGATGGACTCGGCCTCCTGCGGTGGGGGGAAGGCAGCGGAGGGAGGGGACATGATCCCCTGGGAAGCTGATCCCCTGAGGAAGCGGGGAGAGAAGAAGGATGGGACTCCACGGCACTGAGAAACTGAGCTATATTTTAAAGTTTCTCCCAAAAATAAAGGCTGAAACAACACGAAAGGGAAGCAGCAGCTGGTGCAGCCACAGCCAGAGGTGGGAGATGGTTGTCCTTTTGGTTCTTCTGGGCACGGAGGGGTCTGTGCTGGGAAGGAGGGGATGAAGGAGGGGTGAGAGCTGCCTGCCAGTGTGTAAACACACACCGCTCTCACGCCAGCGCCAAGACCAACACGCGCCACAGTCTGGGCACGGAGGGGTCTGTGCGGGGAAGGAGGGGGTGAGGGGGGGGATGAAGGAGGGGGTGAAGGAGGGGATGAAGGAGGGGATGAAGGAGGGGGTGAAGGAGGGGGTGAAGGAGGGGGTGAAGGAGAGGATGACGGAGGGGGTGAAGGAGGGGGTGAAGGAGGGGATGAAGGAGGGGTGAGAGCTGCCTGCCAGTGTGTAAACACACACCGCTCTCACGCCAGCGCCAAGACCAACACGCGCCACAGCCAAGGCCAGCAGCAGCCCCACGGGCCCAAGCACAGGTTTGTGCAGTTTAATTAACTCCAGTTACGTGGTGAGAGTAATGAAGCGTTACCTCAGGCACCTCTCCCAGGGGGTCCCGCTCTCCCTGGCCCCAGCGGAGGGTTTGGGGCCCGGGTCTCAGTGGGGGACTGATGCCCGGGGAGACACGAGCCCCACACAGAGGGGACCGGCTCCAAGGAAGATGCTCCCAGGAATTAAGAGCAGGGCTGGGGGAGCGCTGCCATCGCACGGGGGGCTGGGGATCTGCAGAGAGCCGGGGGCACCCGGCAGCACCTCACACCCCATCCCCACCGGGAAAAGCCAGGGATGGGGAGAACTGACTGGAAGGTCCCAAAGAGTGGTGCTCAATGGATTCAAATCCAGCTGGCAGCCGGTCACTAGTGGTGTGCCTCAGGGCTCAGTGCTAGGACCATTTCTATTTAACGTCTTTATTGATGATCTCGATAAGGACATAGGGTGTAACATCAGCAAGTTTGCAGATGACACCAAGTTAAGCAGGAGTGTTGACTCCCAGGAGGAGAGGGAAGCCCTACAGAGGGACCTAGATAGATTGGATCACTGGGCCAAGATCAACAGCATGAGTTTCAACAAGGGCAAGTGCCAGGTCCTGCACTTGGGCCACACCAACCCCCTGCAGCGCTACAGGCTGGGGGAAGTGTGGCTGGAGCTGCCTGGACGAAAGAGACCTGGGGGTTCTAATTGACAAACGGCTGAATATGAGCCGGCGTGTGCCCAGGGGGGCAAGAAAGCCAATGGCATCCTGGCTTGTATCAAAAATAGTGTGAGCAGCAGAAGTAGGGAGGTGATTGTGCCCCTGTACTCAGCACTGGGGAGGCCACACCTCGAGTGTTGTGTCCAGTTTTGGGCACCTCAATCCAAGAGAGATCTGGAGGTGCTGGAGCGAGTGCAGAGGAGGGCAACGGAACTGGTGAGGGGGCTGGAAAACAAATCGTATGAGGAGCGGCTGAGGGAGTTGGGACTGTTTAGTGTGAGGAAGAGGAGGCTGAGGGGAGACCTCATCACTCTCTACAACTTTGTGAAAGGACACTGTAGAGAGGTTGGTGCTGGTCTCTTCTCACAGGTAATTAGTGACAGAACGAGAGGGAACGGCTTCAAGCTCCAACAGGGGAGGTTTAGATTGAACATTAGGAAGGAATTTTTCACCGAAAGAGTGGTCGGGCATTGGAACAGGCTGCCCAGGGAGGGGGTGGAGTCCCCATCCCTGGCTGTGTTTAAGGGCCGTTTAGATGCAGTGCTGAGGGACATGGTGTAGGGGAGGACTTTGTAGAGTAGGGGAGATGGTTGGACTCGATGATCCCAAGGGTCTCTTCCAACCTCAATGATTCTATGATTCTATGGAGCAGGGCTGCTCCTGCAGCGCTGCCTGGAGAGGAGCCTTTGGGGAAACACAGAGCAGCCTCTCAAGGAGGCAGCAGGAAGAACGTTCACTAAAGGCATATTAATTGTGCCTCCTGGAGGTTAAAGCCATGTTGACAGTAAGTGTATTTAATTAGCGTTTCACAGCGCTCTGTCATAAGCAACTTAACCCCTCCAGGGGAATTCGTGCCCCTGCAGCAGCCACAGGGACGGCGCGACTGGAGAAAGAGCTTCCAAAAAGCAGCTTTGTGTATAAAAGAAACAAACCAAAAACCCCCAAACCCCCCTGAGCTCAGTGTCTGGGCCGTGGAGGAGCTCTGAGGAGAGGAATGAGCTTCTCCTCATTCCCCCCTGGGCTCCCCAGGCAGTGACAAACCCCTGACAGCAATGCTGTTAGAAAAACCCCTTCTGGGCCAGGAGCAGAGGGGGCTTGGGCTGGGTTTTAGCCGTTGGCAGCCCCCAGACTGGGACAAGGAGAAAACAGGAGAGGTTGAAGCTGATGGGGTCCTGCAGCGTTAAGTACGAGGTGGTACGAGCAGCAGAGGATGATGGCAGAGGCAGGACAAAGCTCCCTCTCCACACAGGGCACTGGAGAGAAGCAACAGAGCAGAAAACAAAAAAAAGCATTAAACCAAACCGTTCCATCCTCCCGGCAGTGTCCTTTGCACCCACAGGACACCAAGCCAGAGGGACACGTTCACAAAGTGGGGTTTAACAACCCCTCCAAGCACAGAGTGGCTGCTTTCCAGCTGCCCTGCAGAACACCCCCGTTTTGGTAAAGCCTGGGAGAAAGGCCCAGCAGCCGATTCTGCAGCGTTTGCTGCCCAGAGGGGGGTAACTGCCCCCCGGGACAGTGTGGAGCCCGCGCTGCCCTCAGCATCCCCGTCCTCCAGGAACCCTCCAGCCCAGTAAAAGTTCACTTTCAGAGTGTTTAACCCCCATCTGCAGCCTGAAATGAGATTTTAATGCTGTGTTTTACGCCGGGGGCAGCTGACGATGCGTGACGGGCGGCTGCATTAAGGAAAGCACCGCCGAGGGGCCGGAGCCCGGTCACAATCTTCCCTTTAATTCCTGCTCTCTGGAATTAGAGCTGAAAGTCTTTGCCAGGCTTCTCCGTAACAGACCCAGCCCCGCCAGGCTCCAGCCAACACCCTTAAATAACAGCAAGTTTTAGGCAAAACCAGCATCTTCTCACTGCTGGGACACCAGCAAGGCAGGGCAACTCTCACACGCAGGGCAAGTGTGAGCCACAAGTGCCAAACCTCTGCCACGGGAGAGTGAGCAGCTCCCGCCCTTACTGACCACTTCAACCCCAATTTAATCCCCAAATCAACATTTTAATGTGAGTTAACAGCCTCCCACACACATCTGCCAAGGAGAAAGAGCAGACCCTGGCTATAAATGCTGTAGAGGAGAGCGCAGACACCTTGCCATCTCCTGAGGGTCAGTAGTTGACAGGGCACAGGGATTTCTTTCCTGCAGCCCTGTCCTGCTCACCCACCAGACACGGGGAGCCCACTCCCTGTTCTCCATCGTTTGTCCCAGAAACACTGTGCCAAAGAGCCAGGAAAATATTTTTGGCCGCCAACCACCACTGTGATATTATTCTCTTTAATCAAGTTTAGTGTAGCTCACAATAGCACAGCTTATAGAGAAGCACTGCACAATATAAAAGAACCTTTTTAACCTCAAGAACCCTTAAAAGCCATCTACAGGGCACTCAGAGCACGGTTGCGCGGCACATCTCAAATCAAGGAGGAGATGATGCATTTTGTTAGAATCAGGAGAAAAAAGAAGCCCAGACTGAGATCCATGGAAGGTGTTTGCATCTTCTTCCTACCTGCAGATAAAAAAAATGCCTCAGTCTGAATGAAGGCCTGGCTGAATCCCAGAGACCTGTGATGTCCTCAGGATTTTCATGGTCCTTTTTATTAAAAGCAGATTTCCACAGAGAAATAATGAAATACAAAAAAAATGTAATTGAAGTGTGAATGAACAGTTCCCAAAAACTAGCGTGTCGCAGAATCCAAACCAGAATTAACATAAAGACTCTGGATTGTGATCATCATCAATCCCAGCAATGGCCTCAAATTCTTACCGTGGAATGCCATTCTGCTGTATTTTATAATTAAAGCAATCCATTAGGTATTTAAGTCACCACTTTTCTTATTTGACAAACCCATCAATGCTCCAGTTTCCCCGAGCTACGAACTATGGCCACATCCTCTTAGATTTCCACGCTACGTCCACCGGTGGAGTCCAGCTGGAGAGGCAGCCGTGAGGAGAAGACAAAAGCCATGGTCCTGGGAAACCTTCTCAAGAACCCTGAAGGCCACGAGGGCAGAGCTCTCCCACGCAGCACCTTGGGAGGGGGCCCAACGTGTGTTCACCTGATGGATTGTGCGCCGAGATACAGCGTCCGAGCAGCAGCTGCGCGGGGGCAGCGTCCCTGAGGCACCACAGAGAGGAGTCCTTTGGGGACCCTGAGATTGTGGGGGGGACAGAAGGCAGCGTCAGTCCTTGGCATCGCCCACGCCGTCAGCGTTGATGGCAAACATGGCCTCGGCCTCAGGGAGGCAAGGGGAGTCGTAGATTTTACAGATTCGGGTTTCGCCTCGGCCTTTTCGCAGATACAGTCTGAGGGGAAAGGGAAAGAAAACAGGTAAGGACAAACAACCCGATTCCAGTAAATCATTAGATGGTTACATTACAGAATCACAGAATCACAGAATCTTCTAGGTTGGAAGGGACCTTAAAGATCATCTTGTCCAACCGCCAACCTGACTGACAAAAATAGACACCCACACAACAAACAAGGAGCATCATCACTAAACCATCCCTCCCAGCACTACATCAACCCGGCTTTTGAACACCTCCAGGGATGGGGCCTCAACCCCCTCCCTGGGCAGCCCATTCCAAGGCCTGATAAACCTTTCAGTGAAAAAATTGTTCCTAATATCCAGCCTGAACCTCCCCTGGCGCAACTTGAGGCCATTTCCTCTCGTCCTGTCGCCTGTGACTTGAGAGAAGAGACCGACCCCC